GTAGTCCAGGTGATATGTGCAAAATTTGAGGTGATATGTTCACTGTTTCATAAAAGCATGAAACTTGGTACAGTTGTACAGGTTAGGGCCCTGAACATTTTCAGAAATGGAGCCATCGCAAAAACACCTCATGGTTGCCATGGTGACCATTTTACTGTCCGCCATAACCAAATTATGTATTTTGTGTCATATCTTCTGAACCAAACATGATAACACAGAAAAGGTGATGTCTAGCCCTATGTTTTGATGGTCAAGGATTACAATGATATCACATACAACAACATAACTGTTCAGGTAAAGAATTAATGGTGAAATCAGCAATGTGAGAAGGAAATAACAGTATGTGAGCATTACAGTATCATAGCATTTACAAAAGTCAATATTATGGCTATTATTATTTTTTCTTTCCTTGATAATTAACTAATATTTTATTCAATAGTACAATAAAAGATTGTTTTAATTAATTAATTATTAATTTGTTACATTTATATAGCACTTTTCTGGGTACTCAAAGCGCTTTACATGAATCTCCTCAACCACCACCAGTGTGCAGCATCCACCTGGATGATGCGACGGCAGCCATATTACGCCAGAACGCCCACCACACACCAGCTTAACTAATATTTTATTCAATTTATTCAAACAATCATTTATTTCAGAGATATAAAAAATATATAATCTCAGGTTGGTGTATATTTCCTTACCTCTCAGGCAGAGTCAGGTAGGTGGTAGTGTGTTTCCAATACATTCTTGTTCTCTCTCAACAACGCTCTAACATCACACGCAGACGGCAACGCAATCTTGCTAAGCTGCGTCCTATCTGCACCTCTTCTGCTGCACCTGTGTCATTTTCTGTGGGTCTCTGGAATTGTCAATCAGCTGTCAACAAACTTCATTCTGGCCACTGCTTCTCAGTCTACTCTTAGTATCTTGGGCTTGACTGAGACCTGGATTCATCCAGAAGACACCGTAACCCCTGCTGTTCTCTCTAACAACTTCCCTTTCTCTCACACCCCCCGTCAGGTTGGAAGGGTACTGGTCTTCTCATTTCTTCTCATTTCTCAACCCACTCTTCCCTATGCAATTAAAATTATTTTGAGTTTTATGCTATTATGGTAACAGCTCCTGTTGAACTCCATATTGTAATGGTTTATCGCCTTCCAGGTCAACTGAGCACCTTTATAGATGAGCTGTATAGGCTGCTGTCCTCATTCTCTGTGGATGGCTGTCCACTTGTGGTCTTTGGTGACTTCGAAATCCATCTGGAGAAGCCTTACACTGTAGACTTCCTCTTCCACTCCTAGCTTCATTCGATCTCAAATGACTTACCGCCACAAGCACTAACAAATCAGGCAACCAGCTTAACTTCATTTACACATGCAATTGTATCACAGACATCATTTGGTAAAACCTCTAGACATCTTTGATCATTTCTTTATTACATTTAACCTACATATTACTACCTGTGTAGTAACCTGCCACCAATTCCTCTACCAGTTACTTTTACTTTACTTACTTTTACTTTTAGTCATTTAGCAGACGCTTTTATCCAAAGCGACTTACAAATAAGAAAAAGTAATTAAAACTAAAAGCTAAAACTCTATAAATACTATATATATACACACATTTAAGAAAATAAAAGAAATTAAATAA